ATATATATATATATATATATATATTAGCCTTTATTTAACCAGGTAGTCTCATTGAGCCACGAGAACTCATTTTCAAGAGAGACCTGTTTAGGGCCTTGCTCATGGGCCCAGAGTGGGGCAAATGAGGGTGGGGGCAAGTGTGGATGCTTCACCTACCCCACCCCCCCTTTTTTTTTATGTCATCGGTACTGATATATAAACATTTTTCTCTGTCTTTCTTCTCACTCAAAACTCACATCGAACTGGTCATACTCCTTTTCTTCTCTGAAAACAAAATGGATATAAACATATCTTGACTGACCCTGTCCAGATTATTCTTAAACCACAGATCATGACAACATGACAAGCTCAGCTCTTGAGGAAGTCAGCTGAATACATCCTGATGCATGCTCAATGCATGAAGCTGAATATAGCAATTTTATACTCCACCGTCTGTTACAATAATGAAACCTCAAATTTTATTTGCACATTAAATCTATTAAGGGCAGCCACAAGAGGCAGGCAGACCAAAGGAGGTAAGGCAAAAGATTATCTATGTTCCCATTTAAAACTTACCCTGGTTAAATCAAAATATTTCTCAAAGACTGATGTTTGCCTCTCTACACAAACCCAGTTCCAGGAAGAATAGGACTTATTTCACTTGGCATTTACAGTTTTTCCTGTCGACTTCATAATTTTACTTGGAAAGGGTTATGAATGTGTGTACTAAAATAACTACAAAATATCTCATTGTTGTGTCACTTTCTGTGCATGCGTGTGCGTCTCTACTAAGGTCATCCAACAGACCAGTCATCTTGGCCAACAGAGGAAATTAATTAATTTAGTTGCTTTCTTGACGGCTCGTAAACACAATACAGAGTTACAGCCCCTCTCTGCCCAAAGCAGCTGAGCACAGCAGGAAAAGAGAACACCATGAGAACACCATGGGGCCAAATGAGGACGTTACATTTCACACCACATGTGAGCATCAGTCAGCTGATGCCAACATAATCACAGGTGGATTACACCAGATCATTTTACAGAGTCTTCTTATGGTTTCTTTAAAAACAATAAAAAAAACACTCTAGGCCATTTGAAAAAAAACAAAAACAAGCTGGTACAGATAGATGTACACAAATAAAACAATTTCAGTAGTAGTGCTAATAGTGGGAATTATTAATACAGTTGGTCACAGCAACAATATGCTCTTTAGAAGTAAACACGTCAAGCAAATGAAAAGTCAACCAGTCAGTGTCAGTCTTAACTTCACTTGTAAACGCCGAATAGTATCTATGTCATCAAAATGGATTGTTAAACACGATTACTGCATGAGAGCCCTCTGAGGACATCCACTGAAAATTAACAATCAAATACCACATGCAGTTGATTGATTTGGCCTAAGCTTAGATGCTGCGACTGGCTCTAGATCAGCCAAGGCAAAGCTGATCCTGGCCAGTCTTTGCTGTCCATTATCAATTCTGTCAGGGGAGAAATGCAGAGCATGCTACAGTGGCTTTTGCTTTTTAGTGTTTATATTCTTTCTCACCTTCCTTTTATTTCCAAGCAATATTTTCTTAAAGAACCACAGCTATGTGTATGTCAAAGATGAGGACATGAACTGAGCTGAAAGTGCTACCCACACACCACAAGGTTTTACAAAAGCCCACTTGTCATTTTGAAGACAAGGCTTTCCTCTTTTATTCAGCATTTCCATCATCCTCCACTTCATCTCTACGACCACCATCAGACCTCAAAATTAGAATGCTGCATAATTATAGCAATACAATTTTTATTGTACAAATTCTGCTCACTCTACTTTCCTTGTGATAGTAATTATTGCCTGGTTCCAGTGTGAATATAAACTATAAAAACCAAGACAAATTCAACATTACAAGGAATGTAATGCATTTTTGGCATTAAAGGATCAACAGCTCATCTACTTACATCTGGGTACTCTTTGACAGGCACAAACAGTTTCTCCTGCAGGTGAACAATGGGTCCGATTGGTTCAGGCAGCTCCAGTGGGTGTCTGTCCACAAGGCCATTCACTGTGTCGCTGTACATATCTTTACGCACTCTGTTGATTTCTGAAAAACAAATACAAGTAAAACGTTAACAGGGCAGTACAGAGACTCCATTTGTTTTTTAAATGTGCAGGTTTTTTTTAGATTAATCACAGATTTACTGATTCGTGGGCAGAAACAATGCGACTAAAAGTTAGAAAATATATAATTAATAAATTAACTGGTTGCCTGCATTAAAGATTTGTTTATGCAGTATGAGTCTTTGGAGAACACTAACATGCAACATCATTAAAGTCCATGATTGTACCAATATGCACAAAAAAAAAAAAAAAGTTTCCCACTAAAACCAGTTAATCTGCTCCAGTCATGAAGCTGTTCTACTTATGACCTTTTTCTTTCCCTTTATTCCTTTTAAGCGGTTGATCTGACAGGCACTTGTATGAGTACCTTAGAATAAGCAGATGTTTAAGAATAATAAGGACATTGCTCCAAAGAACATGTTTTACTTTGAGACCTGATCCATTTAGATCTGAACTAACGCACCTTTCTCAATGACCACAAACACTTTCAAGCAATGGCCACCTGCAATTACATTTTTAACCACATGCATGGTTTCTAAAATTTAAACACACACCCCACAACATAGGTGTGGAGTTTAGGCCTAGAGAAGTATTAAAAAATGCATCATTCATAGCAACAAACCTGTATGTGTTCATTTGAGACTATAACACAGTTGGATGAAGATTGACGACAGCAGTTATAACCCCCATTATCTGATAATGCATCATGCTATATTTGCTATATTAAGCTTCTCAAATTGCCATTTACACTGTGTAAGATTACAGCAGCAATGGAAAACATCTGACTGCAAACAGTGGGTCTTTAGAGACCTTGAGCAAAAGAGAGGAGTAAAGGCAAGTACTAGGCAACATTTCCAATGACCGTGTGACTTTTCCCTTGTAGGAAGCTCTAAATTAAACTGTGACTAACTATAGATGCAGTGAGCAAAGCATCACTGACCTCTACACCCCCTGTAAAATCTAAAGGTAGGTCAAGCTAGGGTTGTAGAATAGTTTTGTGGCAGTATTTTAGGTTACAGAAAAACATTCAGGGCCTATTGCTCTTGTGAATTTTATTGTAAACTTGAGTTACAGTAAAGACTTTAAAACTAAAAAAGTGCTGTCTCTGGATAAATGACATTCTGCTAAGAGGTTCAAAGGCAAATAAATTTAAATAGCTTTGTGGGCAACACCAGATAAAGACATTGGGTCAAGTCTCCTGGCTTGTTTGTATCATTTCAGTGTGACTATTTTAAAAGTCACATAACTAAAGAGCTTTGTGGATCAAAGATACTCCCAGAGTGTCCAAATCAAGAAATCATCCCAGTAACCAACCCCTGAAACAGATGACATCAGTTCTATGCAATATGGCAGGAGGACAACATATTGTTTTGACGGTTAAAGAACAAAACACTTTGTTGTCTGTAGTGTCTCATTATATAAAAAGGTCAGGACAGTCTAGTGCAAACAATAAAGACTGAAAAAACAACAAAATTATAGAACACAAATATGTTACTTTCTTTGTTAAAAAAAAATAACAGGAAAAGAAAACATGCAAGGAATCCGTACCCTGAAGCCCCGCGATAAGTGAAAAACCATGAAGTAGGAATAGTAGTACAAGCAGTAAGTAGTAGTTTATTTAAAATTATTTAATTAATTAAAAATAAAAAATATATATAGGCAGGCATTTTAAACCTTTCCCACACTTGCAATATTCTAAACAACGTTTCTAAAGGTTCTAAAAGAGCACAGCATGTCATGATTTCAGCTCTCTGCCTCCCGCTGCTCTCTCAGCCACGCCCACTTATCTGCTCTGCACAGAGATCAGCTGCAGGAGGAAGCTTCTCCCACAGCTGAGGGCTGCACACAGGGGCTAAACCATTTTAAATTATTTATTTTAAATAATAAATCCATGCCGATCGTGTGCCACTTGTGTGTCATGTCCAATCTTTGAAAAACCGCGATAGAGCGAGTCAGAGAAAAACGAACCGTGAAGTAGCGAGGGACTACTGTATTTGCGATTTAAAGATATTGCATTTTCCTCATCTACCAATAAAAAAATGGAGATAATGCATATCTATCTTAAATGCTTTGTTTCTATAAGTAAACATTTAAAGGTACATGGTTCAAGATACAATGTGGAATTGATGAAAATCGTTGTGCCTGTCATTAAGTGTAAAAAAAATAAAGAATATTCAGCCGTTTAGATTATTAGTTATTGTTAAAATTAAATTAAGTTAGTCAATTTTTATATATACTATGTCCAATGCATATCAGTCTATTTGGCCTTCAGATTAAAGAAAATAATATTACAACAAAAAAGCCTTAATCACAGTTAATGTGAACCAACAAGCAGCAGCATTCATTCTCCTAATTTTTATTTCCTCTTGCCCAAATGTCACATTAACATAAGTGGGCTGAACTGGGCCATCAAAGGAGACATGCGGCATTTGACAACCCCTAATTTCAGTGCGACAACCCTTTTCAGAAGCGTTGTGCTTACCTAAAAATTACCCCAGCCTTACATGGTGAAAAAAAAAAATCATTTATCTATCTGCTCAATCCAGAAGAAAGGGCTGACAACTCTGTGTGTGCATGTGTCACTATTGTGAATGGGTGTGTGGAAAAGTCACTATAAAGAAATGACAAAATAGAGCCAGAAAAAGACTAATCCAGAGTGATAGAAGGGTGGGCCATTAAATGAAAACTTTATTGAACTGCAATAGAAGACAAAAAAACCATCTGAAAACTCCATTTTCAAAACAGCTACCTGTTTACCAGTTTGGCCATTTCTAGGCACAAAGCCAGCACGTCATCCACGACCTTTTGTAAAAACCATACAGACACTTTCTGTCAGAGCGATCTGCAGTGGGGGGTTCATACATATACACACACACACAGGAAGAGATTGTAATATCTCCGTTAAGACTTGTACGAAAATAGCTTTAAGAAAAATAGTATGAAAAACAAAAGATGAAAATAAACATCTGAGATTTTGGAGGATGTGGGCGGAGGTTGGTTGGATGAGACAAAGACAAAGAAAAGAAGGAAATTATAGGCCAGTGCTGAGCGAGCATGAAGCAGATGCACGCCTCTTGACTCGCGCTGGTCTTTTCTGCCTCAGTCGAAGTTAAAACACCTCTCATTTTGTCCCTGTTCTTTTCGTTTTCTCACTTTCTGCACTTGTCAAAATCTGCAAAGGAAAAGAAAATGTTACAGACGGTGCCTGCAAAACCGTCTGACCCTTTGTCAAAAAAAAAAAGAAGTGTTTTATCCTCATCTTCTGTGTGATCTTGGCCGTGTAGAGGAATGAGAACCAAATGAAAGGATGTGGGAGCGAAAAATGACACGTGAAATAGTTTTGAGGTCTGATCGGTGGAGATTAAGCGGCAAGCTCCAGTCCCAACCCTGAACAACTCATCAAGGAGAGAAAAGAAAAATAGAGCTCACGAGCTAAATTAAAAACAATGAACAAGTCCAGATGGAGATGCTATAATCAGGTTCAAGACAGGTGAGCTTCATTCAACGAGACCTGCTTCATAAGAGAACGGGAACAAGTCCATTAAGAGGCTGAAAATAGACATGCTCCATAAATGCTCTGCCCTCGCCATGTGGCTCACAGCCAAACGTTTGGCCATGCAGCACACTTCTGTTAACATGAGAAAGAAAAGGGAAAGCAGAGCGAAGGGGAGCAAAATAATATTACGGGCAAGTTATCGGTGCGATCAGCTTCGCCAGAGAAAAGCTACGTTGGATGCCCTGAGCAGCCTGGTATTAGGCTGATAAAATCTGGCACCTGAAACAGATTGAAACTAACACCAATTAATCTTTAACACAAAACGATCAAATGTTCAGCTCTGCAGAGAGTCTGAATGAGTCTTTCTGGCGCAAGGTGGTTTAAGATCAAAAACTTGTACGCTTCAAATCGAGCCATCTTTTTTTTTCTGCTCAGATACGTCTCTATTCATATTTTAAACAGGTGAAGAGCGGGTCTGCAAAGATGAGTCAAAGATAGAAGTAATGTGACGCTATTCAAAAACCTGCAGCAATAATATATGCGCCCAAATGTGCCAGTGCTGAGTAAAACAAGGCTCAGGGGAGAAACAAGCCTTTTCACTTTAAAGCTGTGCACTTTAGCAACCACAAAGCCTGGTAACCCTCTGCAAGCGAAAGGATTTAGGTGTTTAATGCATCCCTGGCCTTTATTCACAGCACAGACAACTTTATCCACGATGGCACTCCACCTCAACAGTTTAGGGGTTTGACAGGCTGAGCATGTGAAAGACAGGGTGTTCTTTTCAAGCAGAAAGCAAAAGTATACTGTGCATTGGTGGGGGTGACTGAACCATGAAACTGTGTGCAGTTCTTGGTTTTATCAACAACTCGCAGCTTTTCTTCACCCTTCCCATCTCTGGGCGGCTCGAAAAACAAAGTTTCATTATGAATGCACCTTATTCTTACTTCCTCATTTTTGATTTAAGAACCTGAGCAGAAAAATCCTTTAATATTCATGTCAAACATGCTTGTTTTGAATGTATTGTACCATCAGCAAAGTTAAGTAGTTTATCCCTAATGCCTTAAAATTAAAAGAAACCAATTTAATTATGAAATAGTTCCTCTCAAATGAGCCTAGAGATGCAATGAGAATAAGAATGAACTGTCTGTACTTTATTTGCAATTGTTTACAACCATTTTTTTTTTTTTACATAAGCTAATCTAAAGGATAGGAACCAAGTAGTAAACAGAAAACTTGACATTAAATTAGAAGAAAACATTGCTATTTGTCAACATAATCAAACTAATGTGTTCCACAAAACCGTTAAGTCAAACACAACAAATGTACGAAACCATAAAACTAAAGTGCTTTCTATATTCCAACACACAATTGGGTGCAATTTTTCACCCAGCTTCACTATTAAACCTTGTTTTCTTGTTTAATAGTGAAGCAGAATAACACTCATTTGTCTCCAGTTGCTCACTAGTTGTTTTCTAATTTGTTCCTAT